AGATAACATTGATCAATACACTGTGCTAAAGTCTCTCTTTGGCTCCCAGTGTATCATTTACAAAGTTGCTGAAGTGAAACATTAAGCTCACCTGAATTCCTGCAGTGCCAAACAGACTCATATTCTCATTGACCCGAATAACCAGGTTTCTGAATCGAGGATCATCGTATTCAAATCTGCTTCCAAACACTATTGAAGAGATGATGTTGGATGTTGCATAATTTACTGGATGGGATGTGTTAAATGGTTTCCCTGTGGAGCAAAAGTCACCTTTTATCTTTTGAGGACACTTACAAAGGAATGTGAATTAGTCCACTGCAACAATGATTAAATTGTTTAAATGCTTTAATCATTGTTAAATCATTTAAACAATCATTTTTATGTGTCCTTTTCTTAGAGCAACACAGCATCATGTTATACCTTTATAACTCTCAAACATTTGAATGAGGTGTCCACACTCCTCTAAGACTTTCTCCTCTGCACCTCTCTTCCCCATCCCAAAGTCTTTGAGGGTGCTGAGGGCAAAACGACGCATCTCTCTCCATGTTTCTCCATTTGAAAACAGGATTCCTTATACAGTACACAGAAATAAAAATCAATTTGTGATTGTGAATGATGCATTTGCAAATACAATGTCCGTGTGATTGCCAAGAAAATGATAAAACAACCTTTATGAGTACTGTGCTTTGGAAAAGTTTTCATACCTCTTAGACTTTTCAACATCTTGTAAAGTTACAGAAACAAATTTCAGACTATTTATCTACTTTGGCTTTCATTGAGGTGGAGCTTAATGCACCGAGGAAAGGGAACAACTATATCTGCATTTGTATGCAATCTTTTTACAATGACAATATCATGAAATCAACTGCAGCCAATGTCTTTCAGAAGTTATGTAATTATTAAGATTAGACGAAGCTGTCTAAAGGTGTGAAAGACAAAAGAACACATTACAGACATGAAGCTTGTGCAAAATATCCTAAGCTACAAATATCTCACAGATAACTGTTGAATTGTCTAAAAAAAAAAATGTGTGGAGTTTGGAAGATCTGCTGCAAAATATGGCCACCCACCTTAAATAAATGTAATTTAAACACTGGAGGAGCTGCAAAGATTGACAACTCATTTGAGAAAATCAGTTTACGGAGACATGCAGGAGGGGCACTAAAAAAAAAAGTCACTGTGAAAAGAAAGTGACTGACTTCCTTTCAGAATCTTTAGCACAATTTCAAAATTTATGTTTACTGACAGTCTGACTGAGCTTCAGCTATTTTGCAGAAATTTCTGTTCAGTTTCTACTGTAGATGTTTAACACGCGTCCCGAAAAACCCTGATTAAAAATGGATGACATTAGCAGAGTTTTATTTGTTGAAAAAACAGAGTATTTTTCATCTGTTTCCAAATTATGCACTATTTTCTTTAGTCTCACATAAAATTACAATGAAATTCCGTAAAACTGGTGGTTGTACTGTGAGAAGAAGTTTCAGTATTGTCCATACTGTTACAAAGCTTGTTATATGTTAATTTCTTATCTTACCATGTCCTTTGTTTATGTCATTAGCCATAGGTGGAATTTCTCTTTCTCCAAACTCGTCTGCGTAGCCGACCAGAGCCTCTCTGACTGTCCTGTACCCGGTGAGAACAACCACTTTTTTTGGTCCAAAATAAACTGTAAATACAGACCCATATTTCTTGGAAAGCTGAGTGGATGAAAACAGGAGAAATAAATGTAGCAGAGGTCAAACAGGTTTCAAAGTTGCTGAACAGTTTAAGTCAGAGCCCACCTCACACAGTGTTTTGTAGGGTCTCTGGAGATCAAGCTGCAGCAGGTTGCCAAGCAGGGGCAGAGGCTTCGGTCCTGGAGGTTCTTTACCCGTTTCTCTGGAGGAACCAACAGTCACCAAATAAAGGATGATCAAAAGGAGGCCTACTCCAAGTACAGTGGTAGGACTGGAGAAAAGAAAGAAACCAAAATCCTTCAAAGTCTCCATGTTCTCTGGGACTTTATGATCCTGTGGGAGTGTTGCTTCACCTGTATGTTGGCTCTGCATTGGCCACACCCACTTAAGGCAGTGATTCCCAAAGTGTGGGGCTTCCCCTCCTCCCACCTTATTTCTTCTTTCAAGAAATAAGATCTTCTTGACAGAAGATCTTATTTCACTTTCAGTAAAAGTTTGGGAAAAACTCTGTGCTTTCTTGTTAACAGCAAAGTATGTATTATTCAGGGATGCTGTGATGGCACAGGGGCAAAGCATAACCCACATCTGGAGACCTTATGGAGGTGGTCGGAGGTTCAATTCCTGGCCTGGTGGTATTAGTCGCATATCTTTACCTTCTTTCCTGTCAAAGTACTTTCAAATAAAGACTATTAGAGCCAACAAAACTTTAAAAAGTGTATTGCTGGAAAAAAATCTAAGTGACAGCTGTTTGTCATGCAATACAAGTTAAATTACCCTCAACTGTTAGGCTGTAAATAGGCAATAAAGTTTTATTTTAACTCGACATCAGCTTGCCAGTTCCAAAGCTCACCTATCCTTTCTGCACCACTGAGTGTCAGCTTTGCCAACTCTAAGATACTGACTAAGTCTGACTACTTTATTCAGTGTGTCTTGAAGTTAGAAGTTCAAACACTTTTAGTGTAAAAAACAAACTTGCAGAATATTTTTGTTTTATCCTGGACAGATGAAACTATACTGGTTGATTGTGGATCAGGTTCTTGCAGAGGGAACAGTGTAAATGGTATAAAGTATCAGCCGGGAGCCTCTCCCACTTTTAGACACCATCTCAATAACTGAAATTAAATCCGCATTTTCTGTGTGTTTGCACACAGAAAACAGGTTGAGCAGCTTTCTACTTTATCCCAGAAAATGATTTGATTTCTCTATTGGATTAGGAGATGGTTACAGAAATAAACACAAACCTATAGAAACCAACATGTTCTGAGTTTGTACCTTCAATCTTGCAATTTATTCTGTCATACATCTACTCTTGTAGGTTGTTGTTTGTTTTACTTTTAGCCTTTTTTTTAAGCGCAGATAATGTCACGCTCTCTTCCACTACTATGCAACTTATGAACCTGATTATCAAAGTTCAGGAATTGAGAATAAATGGAGAAAGTGAAGAAGAAATAGAAACATTTTCCTTATTTCTCCTGGCTATATTATTCTATTTGTCTGTGAAATATCACATTTTCTGTCCACAAAGCATCACAAAGGAAGTTACCACAATGAATGGATGGAAAATTGCTGCTTTACTGTTCATGTTTGATTTAAATAAGAATACTGTAAAGGCCTTTCCTCAAATCCAGGGCTTCACCTATTGATGCTAATAGAGGCTATTAGTCTCTGGAAACTGAATGCACCATTCGTTAAATAGTTTGCAATGTGAGCAAAGATGAGGTACGGAGGTTCATGTGTTCATTCCTGCATCAAAATTTGGCTGTAAGAATGTGGAATGTTACTTTACTGGAGAAAAAGCTGGAATGGTCATACAAGGCTGAACTTTACCAACTAGATAAAGTCGGATACACTGCTTTGCTCTGGATCCCAACTCCTGCCCGCTCAGTCCCTGCAACATGCAACCGACCTGGAATACTCCAAGGTGGAGGCCTGGATTTAGATACTAAAACATAAGCTGCTTTGGCATCAGATGTGACTGATAGATTGTTTTGTGTATATTAACACCATTTTTAACATTCACACCAAATTTGGCAGCACAACTCCTTATATTATTATATATTTCAACAAAACTATTATATTATATATTTATTATGTATTTCAACAAAACTAACAACTAAGTACATCTCACTGAGGTTGGTTGTGTCCTCTCACAACCATATATGGTTACAGTAACATTTTACCATTTTAGCTCATTAAAATTATACATATTTGCTTATTTATTTTGTAACTATTCCATTTGTGTTTCAATTAATGGAAAAAAAGAGATCTTGTAAGGGGCAAGGTTCAGAATAACCATTCTTAAATTATTATAACATGCTCTGTAAATTTGCTTTGTCATGAGTAAATAATTTGGAAACAAATGGAGACTCTTCATCATCTATATAAGTCAGTGAAATTAACTCAGTAAATATAGAAGGGATAAAGCATATAACTAAAAAATTAAAAACATTCAAATTCTTAAAATAAAGTGCACAAATTAATGTAACAGACATTTAGAGTAAAGCTATGCAAAAGTAACATCAGGGTTCTGGTAGAGAGATCAACTACAATCTAGTGCTTCATTCTTCACTGCCGACTGAGGGCACAGAGCTCATGAGGAGAAGGAGGGATGGTGAATCCCACCGCTGGAGTCAGATCCAGATCATCTTTAGAAACTCCAGGTGGAGGCATGAAACGAAAACGTTGAAGGAGTGAGGTGAAGAAGAGGAAGAGTGACATCCTTGCCAGACCCTCTCTTAGACGCACCCTGCGACCAGGAAGGAAAGAAAAGCATTGAACATAAATTTAACATATTTTAATCCAGCAATGTCTGATAGAGTGTATCTGATTAAAACAAAAAAAGACAGAGTTGTTCCACCTGCAGAAAATGGTAGAAAGGCATCTCTCTTGATAAATCTTCCCTCCTTGTCCAAAAAGTGAGAAGGGTTGAAGGTGTGAGGGCTCTCCCATTCACTCTCATCATACAGAACAGATGCAAGGAGGGGAATCACAGTAGTTCCCTGAAGACAAAAATATGAGTAGGATCATCATTAATCTGGAAGATATTGTTTGTTGAAAGCCCAGAAATATTTCCCACTTGCTCACCTCTTTAATGAAGAATCCCTGGAAGGTAACATCTCGACTGGTTTTGTGTGGGATTGCCATAGGAACAATGTAACAGAACCGCTGTATCTCGTGGACGACAGCATCAGTGTACGGCAGATTTTTACGGTCTTCCACATGAACCTCACGGTTTCCAACCACCCTGGTCAGCTCCTCCTGAACCTGGTCTGCAGTAAACAAGAAGGAAATGATCAACAGTTCTCCCTCTGTGGGTCACAGTGACCATGAATATTTTTGTTGAAGTTTAGCAGATGTAATATTTTACAGTTTATATTTCCAGATGAAAACACTGAAACCTTCTAACTTTTACATATTGAGAAAAAATATTGCACCAACTAAAAAACTTAAGCCTCCTGCATAAAATTAGGTATTAAAATCTACATGCTTAACTGGAAATTATTTGAAGTAATTTTGCCCACAAACTTTTGTACAAAGATTACTTTATTTCCAAAGAGCCAAGTTTATATTTCACACTTTAAGAGAAGAACAGAAAGCTTATACCAAATATTCAAATACAGCACCAAACTGCTGAATTTGTATACAGCACAGCAATAAATCAGACACTAAGCGCATGGAACTCTTTTTTTCCATTAACACTGAATGCAACACAACGTAACCTGATACCTTCCATAGACAAAAATACGACATCAATAATAATAATAATAATAATAATAATAATAATAATAATAATAATAATAATAGTTATAATGTTAATAATAATAATGTTCACATATTGTGATCTCAAAGGTCTCCGAAGGTCTAAAAAATGTCTTTTAGATTTCGAGATATAGGGAAAAATCACCAAATGTTTTCTTGTCTTTCTTACCCTGAATGTGTGGATACTTTGCCATGAGCAGCAAACTCCACCTCAGAGATGCAGATGTGGTGTCGGTTCCAGCAGCAAACAGGTTTGCCACTGTATATAACAGGTTCTTCTCAGTGAACTGAGTGTCTTTGACACAAGAGTCCTAAAAAAAAAAAAAAAAAACTATGTGAATACTGTACATGTGGCAAACATGTTTGATGTTGTAATTGTTCTTTAAAAATAGATTTGTGTTGCCTTGCCTCTTCTTTCTGCTTTCGAACCAGAAAACAGTCCACCAGTCCTCTGCATGTCTGAGGGTTCAGTGTCTCTTTCAGTTTCTGCATTAATTTCTTCACATCTCTGATCGTCTTTTCACCATTTTTTAGCATAACCTGACGGCTTTTTATCCATCCGACCAGCCGGGGAAATGTATTGTAGAGCTTGAAATTAAGCACAATATATTTTTTGAAATATAAAAATGTAATACTAGTTCAATTACTTAACATTA